GTCAACTATGTTAGAATGCGAAGTGGTGCTTTTATGAAGTTTGCAGATATATTGAGGAGGAACGATTTATTGCGAGACTCAAGACATGTTATAGTGGATGAGCAACTTGCTATGACTTTGAATATTTTGGGGCATAAAACTAAAAATTGATGTATTAGCTCATATTTTATTAGACCTGGCGAGATTGTGAGTAGGTATTTCAACAAAGTGTTAGAAGCAATATGCCACATATGACCATACTTTTTAAGACAAGCACGGAATGAAGTTCTACAGTAGATCCTTAGCAACCCTCTATACTATCCTTATTTCAATGTATTCTCTCTTTAATTTGTGATTAAAAGCATGTTCATTTAATTTAATAAAAAAATATTCAACTATAATTTTTTGTTTTCTAGGATTGTATTGGTATGATAGATGGTACACATGTTGATACGATGTTACCTGCTAGTCTTCAACCATGATTCTGTGGTTGAAAAGGTGTTACACAAAATGTTTTAGCGGCTTGTACTCCAAACAAGTTATTCACTTATGTATTAGCTGGATAGGAAGGTTATACAAATGACTATAGAGTCCTCCAATATGCATTGTCTAGGCCACAACCTCATGGCTTGAAAGTATATGATGGTAATTTCATCAAATCTTCAATTTTAAGTAATTACTTTAATTAATATTGCTTTATTCAATGAATTTACAAAAAATTCTACTAAACACTTTCACCTCATGCATTTGTAGGAAAGTATTACTTGTGTGATGCGGGATACAGGACTATGTCAGGTTTTATCTCCCCATATCATGGTGTTCGTTACCATTTGAAGGAACAAATAGGAAGAATACCTAAAAATAGAAGGAAATTATTCAATCTTAGACATTCTTCTTTAAGGTCTAAGATTGAATCCACATTTGGTTGCTTGAAGAATTGTTTCAAAATTCTCACCGCAAAACCTCATTACCCTTTTCGCGCGCAAGTGGATATCGTATTAGCTTGTGCAGTTCTTCACAATTATATTGCAATGATTGACCCAGATGATGACATATTCAATGAGACCATTAAGATCGAAGATGATGAAGGTGATGTTGCTAATGAAGGTGAGAATAATATTGTTGATTTCTCTCAACCCCAAACTCAAAGGGAGTAAACACAATCAAGAAACATATGAAAGAACCGTAGAGATCAAATAGCTTGGGAAATGTGGGTTGATTATTGCGATAAATATAAGGGAGGGAATACTAATAAAATAGGCATGTGATGCAATATGATAGTGATGTTGTCTTATGTTATGAATTGTTCTATTTTCATGTACTTCATCTTATGATCGCGTGTGTAAAACTATAGAATGTTAATTGAGAAACATTTGTATGCTACTATTATGTGTTGTATGAAATTTTCTCTTAGGACACACTTTCTTTACTCAACTTACGTATATGTTTTGCATTTCTCTATAACTATTTTCTAGGTAATAAGCTCAAAGGCAAGAGTATGACATCCAATTCATCGCCTAGAACCCCAAGGAATTCATTAATCCCTTGTGGGTTTAACCCGGGATTTATGCCTTATCACTCTTCACAAGTTGGCCAAGGTCCTAATTTTTGAAATAATTTTCAAATGCAAGATGCTAACTTTTGGGGAATTGGCTAACCACCACCAATATCATTCATGAACATGCTAAATGCTCCTCCAAGTTTACAACATCAAAGTTATAGCATGGGTAAAACTCCATCACCTAATCAACAATATCAAAGCAACAAGAGAAGTGTTATTGATATTGATGGTGATGAAAGTTCATCCCCTAATCCAAAGAGGAAAAAGAAAGCTATTGCTCATAAATCTAAAAAGAAAGAGGCTTGCAAGGGGAGAGTTAAGCAATTATGAGAGTAAACATGATGATTTGCTAATTTATTTCCTTGCAAAGTGTACTAAAGATGGAATGAAGGCGGATAAGAAGTTCAAAAAAACCGCTTATCATGGCGGCGGCGTTCAAATAAATGAACAATTAGGTTTAACGTTCATTACCGAGAACGTGGAAAATCGTATGAAAACTATTCGCAATAGATTCTTGGACATGAAAAAATATCATAACTTGAGCGGTGTCGGTTGGGATGATGCAAAGAAGATGGTGATTATGGATGAAGCTTGCTTTGATAGATGGCTAGATGTATTTATAATTTTCTAGTGGTCATTTCTTATCAAATATTTCTAATTTTGTTCAATGTTATCCATATATGTATTTGATATATACCTTTAAGTATGCTGGATAAGAGTATGAATAGTTCTAAACTTAGGGAATACATCAACAAGCCCATGAAACATTATGAAGACCTCACAACTATTATTGGAGACGATGTTGCTAAAAGAGATTATGCGGTAGATGTATTGCCACAATTTGGTGGTAGTGCACATTTTAATATTGATAATAATGATGATGATATTAGTATGCCAAAGGAGAACATGCCTAGCTATGTCTCTATAGATGAAGATGATATTCCACCACCGAAGGTTCCAACTATGCCCTCAAAATCCAATCCATCTTCTAGTGTGAACGAAGCTAAAAATAATGTGTCAAAGATGCGTAAAGGAAAGGAGGCTAGGTCTAGTGAGAACACGGTGCTTATGCGTGAGATAGTAAATGAGGTAAAACAATTCACCTCATCTATGCGCATGGTGAATATGCATTGGACCGAGAAGTTAGCAAAAGCTATATTTGCACATGATGATGAATTTGACATAGAAATTATTGATAAGTTTATCAATAATTGCATGAGAATGAATCACAAGCTAGGTTGTTTATGGGAAGACCAACTATTATGCAAAAGAAGGCATTGACTAAGTTCATGAAGAGTCAACCTCTTTATTAGAGTGGTGAACGGTTGGATTGCCTAGCTTTTGGGACATTTTTGTGAAACTAGCTAATTATAACAATGCTTGTATAATTATTTTTGTATGTAAATGAGATAGATGATTGCTCATCCTTTTGCCTAACAACTATGGTAGATGTATTAAACTTTCTTTTGTGCAAAACTAATATTACTATCTCTATCTTCGTGCATCTCAGTCGTGACTTTACATGTGTTTGGTTGGCCTTTGGTTTCATTTGTTGCTTGGCCTTTGGTTGGCCTTTACTTGCCTTGGTTGCTTGCCTCTGGTTTCTGCCTTGGTTGCTTGCCTCAGCTCTTGGTCTTTGGTTTTAACCTTTGTGTTTCAGTTGGTTGGCCTTTGTTTCATATCTTAGATTCCCAATTTATTAACATATTACATGCCCCAGTAGTGTATATACTGCATCACAGACATACACATGCACATCTTTGCTTGTTCATTTATATATCTTGCAGGCTTTGTACATCCAATGCTAATTCTACAGCAGCACGAGCTTTGTTTCCCGGTAATTATGTACTTTACCTTACTGCATTAGTTTCATCTTTGATGTATGTTGGCCTTATGTATGTGATATCACTACTGGGCAGTCGGAATCTCACTGATTTCAGCAGCAATGTTCCAGCTTGTCCTGCAACAAAAAAAGGAGTTTCCCATTTCTGCAGGGCCCGATAACGGGAATTGGTTGATTGACATGGCATTGATGGTTTTGGTTTTGCTCTTGCATACTAAGTTTTGGAATTTGCTGGTGGTCTCGGTTTTGCTAGACATGGATAGATTGGTTTTGGTTTATGTCTGCAGCAGAGATGCAAGTGCATCTTGGATATGGTATTCAGGTTGGATTGCTTGTTATCTTGGCTGACCTCACATCTGGTTTTGTATTTCATTGATGCAACATCGTGTTTGCTCTTGCTTACTCAATTTGAGATTTGCTTGTGGTCTCAGTTATGCTCATAAAGGGTATATGGATTTTGGTTTACTACTGCAGCAAAGGTGCATGTGTATCTTGGTTGTGGTATTCAGGTTGGTTTGCCTGTTATCTCGGGTGGCTTCACAATGGTTTTTTGTATTATACGGATACAACCACGAGCTTGCTCTTTTGGTTTATTTAGTTTCTTCTTCAGGAGCTCTATGTTAATAGCTCAAATGTCGTTTGTTATAGTTACTGACGTAATGTATGCTTTTGTACAAGTGAGAGATGTCTCACTTTATGATGTACTTTCTCCCAAAGTCTATAGGAGGCAGAATCATGTAATATTGTTCTCTTATCAATGAAATCGATATTTTCTGTTGAATATGTTGCAAATTACTACCCCTCAAATCTTTGAATATGTTGCAAATTACTACCTCAAATCTATAGGAGACGGAATGATGTACTTGCCCCTCAAATCTTTGAATATGTTGCAAATTACTACCTCAAATCTTTTTTAAAAATTACAAATTAGTCCCTCAAAATTTTAAATATTTTTATGTGATAGTTTTTATGTGACGGTTGATATATTTTCACCTCTCAATTTATGTTGGAAATAAATTTAAGGGTGATAAGCACACCATGGTAACCATAGTCACTTTCTTCTTCTTTTTTTATTTCAACCAAATACTAGAAAGTGAGGGAATCTATCACACATCATTTGTTTTCTTCTTTTTTCAAGTTGAACCAAACTAAGAAAAATGGTAGAAAGTACTTCCAGCTTTCATTTTTTGGCGAAACAAACACAAGAAATACTTTCCATGAAAGTGAAGGAAACACAAAAAAGTGAAGGGAAATGGGCTATGAAAAATGATGGAAACTAACCAAACAACCCCTAAAACAATTTCTATCTCTCTAATAAAAATATGACATTTACTCCTCCATACAAAAGGAGATCTGAAAATCTTCATACTACACAGTCGTTGTGGAGCCCGCTTATTTCTCTGACATATTTCCCTCACGACCAAAGAAGCATATTTTGAAATTCAAATCCCCTCTTTATTTCTCTGACAGATTTCCTCTCTTCAGATCTAGATCTAGATCTGAACCCAAAGCCAGATTCTACCCTCCCTCCACTCGCCCTCCCTCGGCCGGCTGCCCGCACTTGTCGCCGCCTGCAGTTGACGATGTAGTATCCGCAGAGCGTTTCCCACTAACCCCCGGTAGCGCAGTAGCAGTGCCCGCCCACTCGCTGTCCAGTACGCGCAACTCCAACGCTTGCCCACGCCAGCCTCCCGCGCACTCTCGTTGCCCGCACGCGAACCCCCCAGCGACCGCCAACCGCCATCACCTGGCAACCCCCTGTAGTAAGCTTTTTTATTTTATTTTTCAATTTACAGTTTTAAAACAATTTTTAATTACCTAATTAATTTTTTTGGACTTTGATTACACCAAAATCGATGAGCGTCCTAAGGATATTTCTAGGGTTTTGCAGACCGAACTAGATTTGGTGACCTCTCACTCTCCGGAGGCGAAGAAGAAATTCAAAGTCGGAATATTGTAACAGGACGCGCGTCAAAAATCCCTACGGCCCTCAATCTATCTCTCTCTACAACACTCAAATGTGAGAATTTTCCCTAATACTTTGTAGGGTTTTGTCATTGGCTACAAGTATTTTTTTATAACCAATTTTCTGATAATTATTCTTGACTCACTTGCTTGGATTTGCAGTTAAAAAGATCAATTTGAGAATCTTCATGGAGATTTATCTTTCTCTTGGTTTTTAGTCTAGAACAACTCAATGCTCACCTTTAAATCTCGAGGTATTTATTTTATCAAATTGGAGGTTCGATCAACAAATTTTGATTTTTATACTTTACTTAGCAAAATTTGACTGCTTATTTAGGTAGTATGTTCTTTTAGGAACAAGGAAAAACCACATTATAGCTTTAAGTTGATCCTTTTAGTGTTGAAAAACTGTAACAAACTTGAGAGCTTGATTGGAATGAATTTGATTTAGCCTGGTGATGAATTTGATTTAAATTCTAATTTTTTTGCGCCTTAGATTTTTGGTTTTTGGATTATTTTTTGGTTTTTGGATTATTTACTTACTTCTTTTAGCATGGTGAAGATGCTAATTTCTATTTATAATGATTAAATTTGATTTAGCTAATCTTAATAGTGCCTAATTCTGATCATGTCCCTAACCCTTATGTTTAAACTTGATTTAGGTAATCTTTTTTGCTTTTCTTAATGAAGATTTGGTCGCTAAGTTTTAATGGGTTTTGTTTGTTCGTGGGTTAGGGATTGGAGATTGATTACATCAGAGATGATGATGGATGGATCGAAACAGTAATTTTATTTCACTTTTCAATTTTAAATTTTAAATAAATATTTTCACTTTTCAATTTGATCTTTAGAAATTTGGTTAATGATGGCTAGGGATGGTATAACCATGAAGATAAAAGCTAAAGTTTCTAAATTTCGTCAATGACAGTTAAGGATCATTTTTAGAAATTTGGTTAATGACAGTTATGAAAGAATGATCTTTATTGTGATATTTCAGTTTCCATGCCACAATAAAGGAATAAATAATTGATGCTAAGGCATAATTCATAATTATGTATTTGTAAAGTATATATGTTTCTGATTAGTAACAAAACATTAAAAGGATGTTCTTTCCATTGGTGTGAGTCATATTTTTCTTTGCAAAAGAAAAGATTTTGTGTTTGTGTGGGTAAATTATAAGATGTAATAGATAAAGAAGTATTTATAATTATGTGTTTGTAAAGTTTATATCTATTACTATTTTCAACTTCAATAACCATACATTCACAATTTGAAACTCTATAGTCATAGATCTATCGATTCCTTTCCCTATGCCAGCAACTATTTTAAATAATATTGTGGTCAGTAGAAATAAGCTAGGCATTTGCATTTTTTTTTTTTTTGATTTTTTAGTTGTTTTAAAAATAATATTCTTAAGTAAGAATGCATCAGTTATTTTTCAAATTATATGTATCATACCATAAGTAGTTATTTTTTCTGATAAACAAATTACGAAAGTCATTTTTGGTACATAAAAATATCAAATTATGATGTTTATCTATTTCTAAAAAAAAGTACAAGCTCATTGGTAGACAAATTCGTGCATCGTACGATCTGAAACTTTTTATATGGCAAAAGGCCAAAACAAGGTCACTATACCGAAAGAATGCTTCTATGAGGATCCATTTTCTGTATACCTATTGTTATTGATTTATTTATTTATTTATTTATTTATTTATTTATTTATTTATTTATTTTGCAATATTTATTTTTCTCTAACACTTTGATCCCCACTCATACATTTTTTGTAATAATGTGATCCTTGGTCATAAATTTCTTTGATAATTAGATGTGTTATATACTTTTTCTAAAATGTCAAAAGTGAATGAATATTATCAAACCTCTTTAAGTGCGATAACTGCTTATTTCTCTAACAGATTTCACTCACGCCTAAAAAATAAAAATAAAGAAGCAGATTTTGAAATTCAAATCCCCTCTTTTTTCCGAAACACTACTCTCAACTGATTAATCCCCCCTCCAGAACCAAGCCATTCTCTGCTGACAACCTCCAAAACCCCATAGTTCACTGTCAACATCCAAAATTGCTGGTTGGACCATTCACCTACTCTATCCTATCTTGCCAGCGACCTCCAAAAATTGCTGTCCTCCACAGTCGATCTTGAAAATCGTCGGTTGGACCATTCTAGGCTTTTTCAATCTTATTTATTGCATTCATAAGGAGAATTCTAGGGTTTTGCAGTGGTTTTTAGCAAAGAATAAAAGAATTCATTGATGATTACCTAACTTTAGGGTTCTTCATTGTAAAACCCCAAAAATTTTAAAAATATTATTATAAATGATAAATAGGTTTTATTATGATTGGTGATCATTCTGGGATGAATGGATCAGATTGGAATTGATTTGAGATCGATTCGCAATTATGATTGGTGATCATTCTGGGATGAATGGATCAGATTGGAATTGATTTGAGATCGATTCGCAGTTTCAGCCTCGGTATCGCGAGTCTACTGAAAACTGATACTATTTTCTTTTTTAGTAATTTTTCTGTTGAACAGATGGGCATGAGATTTGTACTATTGATCTTAGAATTTTATGATGGTGTTGTGGGTAAAGTTTCGTTGCGTTCTGACAACGAAAACTAAAAACACTATTTGAGACAGTATCGCGAGTCTGCTGATATCTACCACATTTGTATTTTTTGTAAGTTTTTGTTTAGCAGATGGACATGAGGTTTGTGCTATTTATCTTAGAATATCGAGACGGTAGTATGGGTAAATTTTTATTACTTTCTGAGAACGGAGATTTGAAACTCAATTTTTAAATAATATAAAATTATAAATATTATTATTATTATTCCTTTTCTTTTCTTCTCTCCACCTTCCCCCACCTACCCCCCCCATAAAAGCCTCTTCCCCCTCTCTCTTCTGAGCACGCATAGAAGAGAAAGAAGAGAGAGAAAGAGAAGGGGAGAGAGAGGGAGAGAGAAAGAGAAGGAGAGATAGAGAAAGAGAAAGATGGAGAGAAAGAGAGAGAGAGAAAAAAGACAGAGAGGAAAAGATAGAGGGGACTTTGGCTATTCGGAGAAAAGGAATGGATAGGGAGTCCAATTTCAGAGATCAATAAAGGCATGTTCATCTCTTTCCAAACTCATCCCTAGTTAGTTTTGATATTGATAAAAATTGATGAATAGAATGTTAGATCAAATCATAAATATGAAGAAAGGATATGATATTAATGAAAATTGATGAATAGAATATTAGATCAAATCTCTAAAGATATGAGCATGCTAGCTAGAACTATACATATTTGTCCACCGCTTGGAAATACTATTACTATTCATACGTACTGGGGTACTATGCATATATACCATTACTATTCACACATACAGTACTATTCATAAGTACTATTACTATAAATACGTACTATGGTACTATTCATAAATACCGTATTGTTCATACGTACGGTACTATTCATGAGTATTGTTACTATTCATACATACTGGGATACTATTCATACGTACTGTTATTGTTCATACATACGACACTATTCATAAGTACTGATACTATTCATACGTATGGGTACTATTTATAAATACTGTTACTATTCGTACATATCATACTATTCATGAGTACTATTGCTATTCATACATACTGTGGTACTATTCATAAACATTATATTGTTCATACATACGGTACTATTCATGAGTATTATTACTATTCATACATACTGGGGTACTATTCATACGGACTGTTATTGTTCATGCATATAGCACTATTCATAAATACTGATACTATTCATACGTATGGGTACTATTTATAAATACAATTACTATTCATGCATACAGTACTATTCATACATAATATTACTATTCATGAGTACGGATACTAGTCGTAAAGTACTGTTGCTATTAGTAAGTACTGCTACTATTCATAATTAGTTAATACAGCAGATAGTCGGGGTTGGTAACTCTGACCATTTACTGGACAGTTTGGCCCAGTTTTATTTTCTGGAGTTTGTTTTGCGCCGTTTTGTGACACGATCGCAGAGTTTGAGCTGCTCGATGTTATACTTACAGTCATGAATATGACGAAATACGTATTTAAGTATCCTAAGGGGATTTATGACGAATTGAGATCTATTTACTTGTGAGTTAGTACACTGCAAATGAGACTACGATGATACTTATTTGTCGATCCGCACGGTGATGCGATGATATCTATTTGTCGATCCGCACTATGATGCGATGATACCTATTTATCGATCCGCACTATGATGCGATGATATCTATTTGTCGATCCGCACTATGATGCGATGATACATATTTGTCGATCCGTGCGATGATACGATGATACCTATTTTCCAATCCGCACAGTAATGTGATGAGTTGGAAGGAGTTCAGAATGATAATATTATAAACTATTTACCTGAGTATTTGGCGGATGCCAAAAGTGTTTCTACTTATTATTGAGATACTTTGCTATACGAGTACATGAGATACATATGCTGATGTCTATTATGATGCTTTACTTTCTAGTTATATTTTGATTGCTTAGTTCAGGGTTAATATTTAGTTATTTACTACCTGACACATACGGTATATACATGAGGGTTTCCTTGTTTGGATTATTTCGTTCGATGTACTACGTCTCGAGTTATAAGTTTCTAAATATTAATTCCATTAGATACATGGAAAATGATCTAGGTAGACTATGCTTAATAGATAGAGGCTCCACTTCATCATCTAGCAGCCATTCCCCTGGGGACGGATGGGGGTGAACTTGTTGTAGCGCTCTGACGTTCTTGCTGTTGTTCTTTTTCTTTTAAATTTTCCTTTCAGGCAGCTCAGAGTTCCGGAGAACCGCAGGATGACAGAGTTTCTGACATAGTCACCGTCGCATGATTTATTAGTAGAGACTCCACCGTAGATTTATTTTCACTGTTCAGACATTAGAGTTGTATTCCGTTTGTAAAGGCTAGGTGTCTTTGTACGATTTGCAGTTGACTCATGTTGAGACATTTTACTTTATTTCAGACTCCAGATGTATTTCAGTTCAGACATGATATCATTTATGAGATATAACTTTCTATATCATGTCTATTGTATTTACATTTCCTTATTTTACCTGTTTTGTACCTTCACTCATAATTGATTTCACTAGAGAATATTACTGTGATTGGTGAAACATGTTATTACATAGTGTGGTGCATGGCAGGTTTAACATCTTTGTGTTCACCTTGGCCTGCAACCATGTGTGAAAACAGGGGCGTCACATTCATGGTTTTTGAACGATGATGTTTCTAGGGTTTCGACGACAAGCAACACTGGTAATTTCTTTCTATCTCTAAATCAGGTAATTTCTCTCTATCCCTAAAAGTTAAATGAAATTATTTTTCAGTTATGCATGACTTTTTTTGTTTGGGTTTTTGAAACCCTGGGTTGATCATTTGGATTTGGGATTTTTTGATTGGTTGGTTGATTGGTAATTTTATCGTAGATTGTTGATAATCTTTTGAAAATGTATTTTATTTGGAAATAGACAAATTTGTGTTCGTGATCTGAGATATAATGGGACTGTTACAAGTTAGTGAGAATTGAATGGAAAGGGTTTTAGATCCTAACCTTAATTATTTAATTAATTATCATTTTTTTGGAAAATCCTTTGATGTTTCCTAATGATATGAGAAGGAGATAGAGCTTTTTTGAGGAGTTTGAGAGAGCATATTTTGAGGGTGCATAGAGAAGTCCATTGTCATAGCGACAGATATGTTATTTTTTAGGGAAAATTGCTTGGAGGAACCAAAAATAGTTGGCTCATGCATCCTCCTCCCCACCTCCAAAACTATAACCCCCAAACCCTTAATTTGAAATATTAGTGTAACCAACCCCCTTCTCCCACTACCCAAGAAATCTCTTCCCAATTTACCTTCTTCCCCATTTAAAACCCAATTCCTTTCTCAAGCTAGCCCTAATCTGGCCCAAGACCTCTCCTTCCACCACCTTCCCCCTCCTCCTCTCATCCTCCTCCTTCCCCCTTCCCCCTCCTCCCCGACCCCCTCCTCGACTCCGTCCGCCTCCTCCCCTTCCTCCCCTCCCCTCCCCTCTGCGTCATCTCCGACAACCCCTTGCCTTTCGCCATCGAAGGAGGCAACGGCGATAAGCCGATAAGACAAGCCGCGTCATCTCGAATCTCACTCGCCTAATCCTTAGAGGCATCGTCAAGCCTATCCAAGCCCTAGGTCAGATCTTGAATAAGAGATCTGTGAAAGCTTCATCGTCGGCTTGCTCTCTAGTTTTGTCGGAAGTTTCGCATCACTCGCTGATCGAGGTCTTGAAGAACTTTAAGGAGATTCGAAGGCTGAGGATCGAGCTTCCAGCTAGTGAGCTCGGAGTTGAAGATGAATCTCTTTTAAAATGGAAGGCTGGTTTTGTGCAAATTGACAGTATTGTTGCAATCTTGTATGCTCTTAATTTGTTCTTTGCAATCTTGTATGCTCTTAATTTGTTGTAATCTTGTATGCTCTTAATTTGTTCTTTGCAATTAACAATACTGTTGATTTTGTGCAAATTTGAAGTTTGGACGGTTAACAGAGTTCGTCTGTTTGTAAAATATGATGGTTTCATGTCACATATGCTGTTTTTATGTGACGTTTATGCATTTTGTGTGGCATATGCTGCGTGTATGTCACATATACTTGTCTCCCGTGACATTTTGGTATTATGTGTAACATATGCTGTTGTTATGTAACATTTTTACATTATGTGTGATATATTCTCATTATCCATGACATATGCTGATGTTATGTGATATTTATACATTACAGTGTGATTTAACCTCTTTTTAGCTGTAGAATGTGAGACTTCAAGAGTGCTCTCCATGACCCATCAAATAGAGTATAACTATTAGAAGCTTTTTGGAGAAGAAGGGTAACGGGAAGAACAAGCAGATTCAAGAAGAGTTATACTCTATTTGATGGGTTGAAATCATTTGGGGGATAATTTGGGAAGAACAAGCAGATTCAAGAAGAGTTATACTCTATTTGATGGGTTGAAATCATTTGGGGGATAATTTTGATATAATAATAGCTCAATTTTGGAGTTATACTCTATTTGATGGGTTGAAATCATTTGGGGGATAATTTTGATATAATAATAGCTCAATTTTGGGGAGATGACAGAGGATTTGTGCTCAATTTTGGAGAAAGAAGAAGAAGAAAAAGATCTGATTTGTGATATTTAGATGTTGAGAAGGCAATGAGGTAGATATGTGACTTTTGAGAATCTATTTATACGTGACACATCCAATGAGGCAAGGAGGATGTGGAATGACTATTAGATCTAAATATCACATACAACAAATTACAGCCATGTATCACGTATAAACAAATTACATGACAAATAAGCACATTCAATATTAACAAATTACAGCCAAATATCACATACAACACCCAAATATCACATACAACACCCAAATGTCACATATAAACAACAAATATCACAAGCAACACCCAAAAATCACAAATTACAACCAAATATCACATACAACACCCAAATGTCACGTATAAACAATAAATGTCACAAGCAACACCCAAATATCACATACAACACCCAAATGTCACGTATAAACAACAAATGTCACATAAAAACAACATATGTGACATGAAACCGTCATATGTCACATGAAACTATCATATGTCATATAAGCAAGTTGACTTCCATAAAAGGACACCTCGAGCAATTCTAAGATGGCTTGTCACATGAAGGACAAACATAATTTTATACCAAAAGTAAACAAGTTGACTTCCATTTTCTTATCAAATTTTACAAACCGATGAACTCTGTTAACCATGCAAATGACAAATTTGCACAAAACCAACTATACTAATAACCATATTGGAAGAGATTCCATCAAGGCTTCTCAATCTCTTCCTCCTCCTCCCCAATCTAAGCCCACACATCTGCCTCATTGCCAATCTAAGCCCACACATATACTTAATTTTGTATTCTATTTGATGTGATATTTCAATGTTATATGTGACAATTCAATCCTACATGTGCCGGTTCTACCTTATATGTGATATTTAGATCTGATTTGTGACTTTTGAGTATTACATGTAACATTGAGACCTCATATGTGACGTTAATGTACCTCATATGCGACGTTAATGTATTATATATGAATGTTAGATGTGTACTTCATCTAAAATATATATTTGTAGATGCGTACCATTCTAGATGTGTACTTTATCTTGTTGAGAATTATAAATTAAAGTGGCAATACTCTATTATATGTGACTCTTATCTGTGTTCTGTGATATTTTACTGTTGTTTGTGACAATTGTCATTTATATATGACACTTGGCTGTACTTTATAGTTAATTATTGTTTGACACATAGATGAAGTACACATCTAGAATGGTACAAGAAATTACAGTCCCAACCCACAGATGAAGTACACATCCAGAAAGATCACCAAGAAATTACAAATGCACATTTTATCATTTACAAACAGCTAGTAAACATCCAACATCCAACAAATGAAATAGTTACATGTGTTTGTCTAATACTTCCACTCAATCAATCGTACATTATTACCCCAAAGTACAAAAGATATTCTAGATCGCCAATATCTAACTTCAATCGTAACTTCTTCCTTTCACCACATTCGCATATGATTTGAGCAGCAAGTCCTGCTCCTAACATCTCATTCTTCCTTTGCAAGGCTTCAATATTCATTGTCTCACTTCCCTCTAGGATCGCCTTGATGAAAAAATATGCATGTATGCCACAATCATATCTGTAAAAATATCACATAGCACTTAAACTGTAGCATATATAATTGGTAACGAGAATATATCACATAGAATGTAAAAATATCACATAACGACAACATATGTCACACAGAATACTAAAATGTCACATAACAGCAGCATATATCACACAAAATACCAAAATATCACATAAAAATAGCATATATCACACAGAATACCAAAATATCACATAACAGCAACATAAGTCACAGAGAATACCAAAATGTCACATAACATCAGAATATATCACTCAAAATATCACATAACAACAACATAAGTAACACAGAATACCAAATATCACATACATGACACAAACGTAAAAGGGGATTATCTCAAATTTTCATTGATCTGTAACTTGTTACACAAAACCAACATCATGCATTGTTAACAAACACAGAAATCTACATGTTCTTATTACCATCATCTCAAGAAATCAACTTAAAGGGTTCATCTTTCTTCTTATTATTATCATCATCTTTCTTATTATTATTATTATTATTATTATTATTATTATTATCATCCTATGTCCTTCGTAGAACAGTATCCTCCCTGGCACATGGGTCACGACGAGGCCGAGATTGAGCACGCCATGGAACTGACCCGAGGGTTGTCAGATGTCGAGAGCACGCCATGCTTCTTCTACAATATTAGCCACTATTTCCTCTAGCACGTAACTACGAATTACTCTTGTTTAATTACTCGAGTCACAAATCCCTTTCTATTAGTGATCAGGCTCCCTAACCCAAGCCTTCTTAGCTCAACTATCAACAAGAAATCAATCAAGTAATGCTGAAATAGATGATATAATCGCAAACAATAAACATCAAAGAGATTATGCATAATAAGTCTCTTAAATTTTAATTGTTCAAATAGTAATCCACCACACACCCAATTCTTCAACCAATCTAAAATCTTCTAGTTTCAGTGATCTAATCTTCCAACAAGCCCAAATCCCACATTCTACAGTTTCAGTGATCTAATCTTCCAACAAGCCCAAATCTCAAAATTCTCCATCAAACCCTAGATTTTAACAAAAATCTCAGAAATTGGGAGATTGGAAGTTAAAGATTGGACCTTTGGTTAGGGTTTCCGTTGTTCAGTAACCGGAGTGAGGATCAGAGCGGTTGATGCGGTTGTAGGCAGCTTCGCCGACGAGGGCGATGCCGAAGGTGACAAGGGCGATGCCGAGGCCGGGCGTCTCGTGACGGAGGTTGCTGGTGCGCGATGGGTGCTTCCTCCACTCGGTCGACGCGGGTGCGGAGGGCGGAGGAGGAGGAGGCTGCG